CCCCCCCCCCGTTCTGTTGGCACCCCTAAACGCATGAACCTTAACCAGAAAAATCAAAACGCCTGATTTAAACCAAAAAAAAGTAAAGATTGGAGCTGCAGAGAAGGGGGGGGGCGAGGGGCGGACTGTCCCCACTGAGAGGCGAGGGGCGCACTGTCCCGATCGGGTGTGTGTGCCCGGTGAGTGCCCAGGGCTGCCCGTCCTGCGACGTGACGCCGGCCCGCGGGTGGACAGCTGGACAGTGACCGCGCCTGTTGGTCGACAGGAGGACCCGGCCGGCGCGCGTGCGTGGGTGAATCGATGGCCGTGAAGGACACTGCTCTACAGTCACGCCTGGGCCAGACCGCCGAGACCCTCGGAGGTCAACCTGCCCTTGGCTCGGTGTTGGGTTGAAAAGCGGAAGCTGAGGTTTTGCCTTTTGTTTGGATTCACACAAAGTTTCCTCTTTGGACGCCGTTGCATCCTTCATTTCATTGAATCGACTCACCCACTGACGCACCTATCTCTGTATGTGCGTGTGTGTTCCTACAGCGCTGACTCATGGTTCCATTTTTAACCCCCCACACCAGCGCAGTATTAAATTAAAAAAAAAAAAAGGCGGGGGTCCTCATGGCTTCCTTAGGGAACTTGGCCTGCCTCTGTCTAAAGAAACTGTGTTTCACTGTGCGTGGCTGATGCTGGCTCTCCCAGGAGACCCTCTCGCCAGTGTGCGCGCCCAACGGCAGAGGGCGGTTTGGTTTGGCTGCTCCGGTGCCTCAGAGCGGGCGGGCGGGGTGGGGGGCGCGGGGCTCAGCCATGCCGGCCTCTCCGGTATCCCACCCACCTGGTCAGGCTGCCCCTGTTTCTCTTATCTGCCTCAGAATGGGGGTGGGGGGCACCGTGAGTCCTGAGCACCGCAGACCCCAGGGCGCTGGCGACCGTGGAGCGGTGTTCCAGCACCGTGTGCTCTAAGCAGAGCGGTGCCCCACGCGGCTCAGGGCAAGGAGGTGGTCGTTGGGAGAGAGCCGCACCACCTGCCCTCCACAGGACAGCTGAAGGTGCTTGAAATCACCGTTGCGGTCTACGTGAGCACAATAAAAAAAAAAATGGCAGCCGACTTTTGCCCATCATTCGTTCCTTGGCACGGGAGTGCCCGGCCGTCCTCACTATACCTCAGGGGGCCGGCGTTCCTTGAGCGCCTCATTGACTCCACGTGGGCTGTGAGTCGTCGCCTCACAGCTGATGGCCGCGCCCTGCAACCCAGGTGTCCAACCGTGTCTGCATAAGCACCCCCATGACAAGGCTGCCGACCGCTGGCCACTACCGAGCTTCCCGCTCACAAGCGCCTTCTGTAGTCACAAGACAGACATGTGCACCGGGCGTCATAACTGCATGAGCACCGGGTGTCATACCTAGAACAGTTAGGAGTTCAGCCCGGGCAGGAGGCGTCATCCATAAGACACGGGACGATCGTGGAGCTCGAGTCCTCCATGAGCCAGGAGAACAAATCAAACAAAACTGAGAGACGTGCAGCCAAGGACTGGACTCCACGTGAACACCATGACCATGGTGTGCAGTCCAATAAAACTCATCATCCACAGACAGTAAAAGTACCCTGTTTCATATCCTCCAGGAGTACACGCACACGGGCAGCTGGCGGGGTCAACCCCCCAGAGAGGAGGGGCGTTCAGGTCATTGGGCTGGACAAGAGCACCCTGGTCACATCAGGGACATGAGACACAGGTGACCGTCCTGTTCTGCACACGGACACAGACAATAACAGAAATAGCTTCATGGGAGGACAATGCAGAGGCAGGGGAGGCCTGAGCAACAACCATCACGGAAATGGCGCTCATGGAACACCACAGGGATCCCCCAGCGCCCCGTGTCCAGGCCACCAGGAGAAGAGGGCAAACCCAGCTGACTCTAGAGCTGTACACATTCCCGGGCGGCAATCAAATGAACAGACCTAATCTCCACGGGGAGCGAGGACGCACAAAGGGACCCGTGGCCCTCATCCTAAAAATTGGACACGCTCCAACGCACCACAGGGACGGACACGGGGACAAGAGACGAAGCTGACAGAGGAAGACGATCAAAGGTGTTTCCAAAGGGGAGCACCTGCCGGCGACTTGATTAGACTTGAATGAAATCAGCTGGAGAAATTGGGGACCGGGCTGCCTCGGGCGGGGATTCCCTCCGTCGGCCCACCCGCGCCCCCTTGGCGGGGCGGGGCTCATCTGTGAGATCTGGCACATGCAGTTATTACCATGGGACCCCAAGCCTGACCCCATGGACCAACCCGCACCCCTAGACGGGCCTTACTGCTGGGGGCCGGTGCATAGTGCCCTTGGGTAGTTCGGCGTCTGTGGCTCTCACCCCACGCCCAATCACACATTCCTCGGGCTCGGAAACAACAAGGGGTTGACTGAACAAATGGGGAACGAGGATTCCGTGAGCTCACGGTGGAGGCTTCTTACCCTAAAGAGTGTCCAGCGTCCATTCGCCCCCACGCAGGGCTGCTGCCCGGGCATGGGCCCCCCCGGACAATGAGGGCCTGGAGCGAGTGACCTGGGGCAGGTTGGGCCTGGGTCCAGCTCCCCGCAGCGAGGGACAGCAAGCGGCTGCAGCTCTGGCAGAGGTTGGGATGACGTCCTGGAACGAGTGACCAGACACAATGGCCCCGCCAGGCGGGGAGGCTGCTGGGAGGGTCAGGAGCAGGACCTGGACAGACAGCTGTCACCATCAGCAGTGCCGGGCATTCACACTGGTAATGGCAGTTCTTTCCCTCTTTGCATTATAAAAGATCTTCCCTTTCCTCCTTTCATGTTGAGACTTGCATAAGGCAGGGGGAATTTTTTTTTTTGGCTTTGTATGTTACTTTTTTTTATTAACAGTTTATTTTTACATCATTTGTACATTTTTTTTTTCATCTCAATTGTCATCCCCGCGGGTTTCCCATCACCAAATCACCCGTGTGCCATCACCATAGTCCCGTGCATTTCCCTCCCCCCCCCCCCCCCCGTTTTTGACCCGATTCCCCACTCCACCCCCACAGAATGTCTCTGGTACATGGCTGTTCATTATTCTTGTTATTTTCTCGCCTGGTCCATTATACTCCTGCTATGAGTGAAACCATCCGGTATTTTTCTTTCTCTTTCTGGCTTATCTCACTCAGCATGATCTTTCCCAGCTCCATCCAAGTTGCTGCAAAAGACATGTGTTTCTCTTTTTTGGTGGCTGAGTAATATTCCATTGTGTATATGTACCACATCTTTTTTTTTTTTAAGATTTATTTATTTGCTCATACAGAACTGGGGTACAGGCCAGAGATGCGGAGGGTGAGAGGCTTCACCAGAGACAGAGTGGGGAGCAGAACAGGCAGATCCACGAGGTATACTGCTGGGGGGAGCAGCGGGCGGGTCAGGAGAGGTCTGCCGCGCTATGTGGTCACCTCTGGGGCAGGTGGGAATCGAACTCATGCGAAAGTGGCTTTAGCTTCTCAATGTTGTGCTTTAACCCGCTGCACCACCAGGGAGGGCCGTACCACGTCTTTTTTTATCCAATCATCTACTTTTGGGCATTTGGGCTGCTTCCATGTTTTTCCAATTGTAAATAAAACAGCAATAAACATGGGGGTACAAGTATCTTTTTCAATCAGTGTTTTTGTGTCTTTTGGGTAGATACCTTGGAGTGGGATGGCTGGGTCGTAGGGAAGCTCCATGTTGAGCAGTTTGAGGAACCTCCACACAGTTTTCCATAGTGGTTGTACTAGTTTGCATTCAGGGGGGAATTTTTGATAGATGAGTAATTACTGCAGAATTGCTTTAGGGAGAGAGAGTGTGGCATGTCTGTAGAGTGGTTTCCTTTCATCAGTGCTGGTAGCTCGCCTTTTAGCTGGTGACAAACTCCAGCAGTCACTCACCCCTTAGTAAGAAATAGTCCCTCAAGTGCCAGTCAGAGATCTGTTTGCTAGGCCGCAGAAGGAGCTGCCGCCTGCAGAGGGCGCCGGGCGCCACTAGTCAGCACCAACCGTGGGGGTGCAACTCCAGGAAATCCCCTGGGAAAGAGCCTCCCGCCCCCACCACCCCGGGTGGCCAGGACACTCCCCTTGCGCAGATATAAGGGCGGCAGCCAGAGGAGCTTCAGCACAGACTCACGCTTCCGCAGCGCCCGGCCCAGCCAAGAAAACGGTAGGACCTGAGCCAGGGTCTGGGAGGGAAGTGGGGTGAGTTTGAAAGGGCAAAAGGGATGTGGGAGCTGAGACCCGGACAGCACCAGCCCAAAGTCGCATTGGCAAGGTGGAAACTAGCCCCCCCCCCCCAGGCCAGGCCAGCTCCAGCACTGCCTCGCTGGGTGACCAGCAGGTGGGCTGGGGGGAAGGACCAGGCATGAGCCTCTCTCCGAACTCCCTGCTTCCTCCAGCATCTTGTGAGTGTCCAGGCAGCCAGGCGCGTCACCCACAGAAGATTGCCCCATCACCCACACTCCCAGCAGCCTGTATTCACCCTGACCTGAGATGGGGCGACTGGATGGGTTGACCAGACATCTAACCCTCCCAGGTTGTCTGGTTATATTGAGGGATGGGGTCCCCGGTCACCTTTGCCCTTGAGGGTGCCCCCGCACACCCTGGGGGCAGGCAGATGGGGGTTTCAACTCCGAGGGCAGCCACTGGGCGGGGCCTTACCCTCTCCCAGCATTAGGGGCTGAGCTCAGATGCACATCCCTGTACCCACTGTGACGAACTTCGCCTTACTGGACAGGAGGTAGAACGGAGCAGTAACTTGCAGTATGTAGCCCCTCCTGATGCAGCTGTCTGCAGCTCAGAGAGTGGAAAAGGACCCACCATTGCTGGGTCCTTATTTGTATGCTTGGGAGAGCCCTCTTACCCTCCCAGGAAAATAAACAGAGGAAGTGCCAGGTCCAGGTGACTGAGAGAGGGGGCTGTGGCTGGCTGGGCTGGGGCGCGGTGGCTGGGCAGCCGGGTCCCCCCCCCAGAGTGCCCAGCGCGCTGTGTTTCAGCCCCGCCATGGAGCAGCTGAGCGCAGCCAACTCCGCCTTCGCCTTGGACATGTTCCACACCTTGAGTGAAGACAGCCCCTCTGGGAACCTCTTCTTCGCCCCCCTGAGCATCTCCTCGGCGCTGGCCATGATCTCCCTGGGGACCAGAGGCAACACCCAAGCCCAGGTGTCCAAGGTCAGCAGAAGAGACAAAAGGACAAAAGGAGAGACCCCGCCCCGGTGTCTGGGGGGGTCGGTGAGGGAGGAGCGGCCTTTGGGGTGTTCCTGCACCTGTGAATCTGCTCTGGCTGGACCCACACCGCGGGGGGCACTTCCAGGGAGGCCAGCGCGTCCACTCGCTGCGGGCTTCCCCGTGAGTCCCCTCAGTGAGCACCTGCTAGGTCCAGGCACGCGTGTGACTGGTGAGGTTGGGGGCAGAGGTGGGGGTGCGGGCTCTGCGTTCTGGCTCCAGCCCTGGCGTGTGCGGGCCCAGCCTCCCCTGCGGGAACAGGCCTGTCCCGGTCAGCTGCGCCATGCAGACCTGCTGGGACGGACGCTGCGGGTCGCTCACTTCTGAGGGTGCGACGCCCAGGGCAGCCACTGAGCTGGAATGGTGGGGGACTGGCCTGCCAGGGGGCAGGTGGTGGGGTACTCTGGTACCCCAGAGCCCCCGCCCCTCACCGTGACCACGCTCGGGGGCCGTCTGGTGAGCAGACTGCATCCCCGGGGCCACAGAGGGCAAAGCCTGTGAGCGTTCTGTGACTCCACTGGTGCTTCTTCTTTGCGTTTGCTTCTGAAAAGGGGCCTCGCCGCTGCCCTGGGGCTCCCCGGGGACGGGGTGGCCCAGCCGGGAGCGTCCAGGAGCCTTCTGCTCCTTTCCCTGTAACAGGCCGCCACAGCACCAGGCAACATCCCTGTCAGGTGTATACCTGGACTTTGTACTGTTTGGGTTTGCTGCGGGTGTCTTAGAGCCCAGCCTCAGACAACCATAAAAGAACTCTTGATTTGCAATTGATAGGTAGGGAATTGGACTTTTGCCAAATATTATGTTTAAAGAAGAGTTTTAAATAAGGAGCTACTATTGTCGGTCTCTGGTGAATCCTCTCACTGCCCCTGCACCTCTGGCCTGCACCCTAGTTCTGTATGCATGAATAAATAAATCTTAAAAAAAAATATTTACTTTAGTAACCACTCATATTTGCAGGACTGGATTATAACCAAAAAAGTGATATAGAAACAGTGTGTGAAGTTGGGGTGACCGGGTCTCGCCACTGTAGGTTTTCTCCAAGGAAAGCTTACAAGGCCCTGTGCTGGGGCCATCAGAGCTCAGTCACCCCGACGCGTTCCTCAGGGGGAGCCCGTGGCCGGGCTCAGGTTATCATTTCAACGTCAGTGCTTATACAGATTGTTTCCCTCATTTTAGACCCTTCATTTTGACACGGTTGAGGAAGTTCACTTCAGATTTCAGAGTCTGCTCGCCGCGATCAGCAAGCGAGATGCTGGCCATGTCCTGAAACTGGCTAACAGGTTATATGGAGAGAAAACCTATAGCTTCCTCCCGGTAAGTGCTTTCTGCTGCAGTTCTCATATTCCCAGACAGTGTAGGCCCTTCCCCCAGCAAAATCAAGTCAGCTTAGATTTTTATAAATGTCAGAAAAATAATACATACTGAAAACACAGGACAAACCGTGTCTGCGTGAGCCTGTGAATTCTCCCTGGTCTCCTGGCGAGAGAGTGGACGCTGAGTCCTTTCAGGCCAGAATGACTCCACCTTTCACTCCTAAGAGCGATCAGTGTTGGTTCCTGTGAAGAAGTTAGGAAAGAATCGCCTTTTATACCATACCAAACCTACTGAAATGCATGCTTACAACGGTGAACAAGAATATTTGATTTTATATATTTTTTTCTCATAGGAAAAAAAAACATGACAATCTTAGAATCTTTATGAGGAAGCCGATGCCTTGAGGTCAATCTGTATGGCTTTTAAAGGTCTTAGAAAATGGCTTCAGTAGATAGTAAGAGTCATTCCTAACATGCTTTCTGTTTCGCAGGAGTTCTTAGCGTCCACCCAGAAAATGTACGGCGCCGAGCTGGCCACCGTGGATTTCCAGGGCGCCTCTGAAGAGGCCAGGCAGGTGATCAACGAGTGGGTCAAAGGGCAAACAGCAGGTAAGGGGGTGACAGGGCTGGTCTTCGCCCGGCCCTGCCTCTGCGTGTCCCCTCCCCACCTGTGGGGGTGTCCTCTCCCGCCTGCTCCCCGCCTCATCCTCCACGCTTCCCTTGGGGTGACTCCTGTCCGGTGCTGAGCACTTCCAGAAACAGGAATTCTTGACACGATTTAACGTGAGGAGCTAAATATTTCCCCCTTAATCCCTCAAAGGACACTTTAAATTTAAAGAGAGAATTGACTATAGAATAAAATGAATTAAAAGTGTACCAGAGACATTCTGTGGGGGTGGAGAGGGGAGTGGGATCAAAAAGGGGGGGGGAAGGGAGGGAAATGCATGGGACTATGGTGGTGGCACAGGGGTGATTTGGTGATGGGAAACCCGTGGGGATTACAATTGAGATGAAAAAAAAAAGTGCAAAATGATGTAAAAATAAACTTTTTAATAATAAATAAATAAAAAGTGGGGACACAGGGCCCTCCCTGGTGCTGCAGCGGGTTGGAGCGCAGCACTGCGAAGCCAAACCAAGCCACGGCCGCTTCAGCAGAGTTCGACCCCAGCCCCGGGGGTGACCCCAGGGCGCAGCAGACCTCTCCTGACCCGCCCGCTGCTCCCCTCAGCAGTGGGCTTCGTCGACCTGCCTGTTCTGCTCCCCGCTCTGTCTCTGGTGCAGCCTCTCACTCCCCCTGCACCTCTTTACCCCATTTCTATATGAAACAAATTCTTCTGCACTGGCTGGCCAGGCGGGGCAGCTGGCTGTGCTGGCCACTGTCCTCTGTCTCCCGGTCAGGGAATGACATGGGGCCTCCCAGACCCTGGGCTGTGTGAGGAGCGCCCAGTGTGGCTGGGGGTCCAGGGGTGCAGCCAGCCCCTCTGTGCATATCTGAGGGCTGCTGGCACTGGGGGTTTGGAGTTCTGACTTCCTCGTGACTCAGTGCTGTTATGCAAGATAATTTCTATAGCCATTATCAAACAAGATTCCTGGTGACCACTCTGCAGAAAGGGGGCGTTTTCCTGTTTTCTGCCATTACCACAGTAGATTGCTCCTGAAGTACAGGCCACGGGTTGGGGAGTTTGAGGCACTCCTCACCTGTCAGTTGGCGCAGACACACAGGGGTGTTTTTACCTCGACACCCTGTTGAATGGACATGAAATGGTGCATTTGACTGGCATTTCTGTGCTGATCAGTGTCAGTTTAGATTGGGAGTGCTGAGGTTGGATGAAATAACAATAAAACCTTTCCCATATCTCTTTCAGGGAAGATTCCGGAACTGCTGGCCGCAGGTGTGGTGGACAACCTGACTAGGCTGGTGCTGGTGAACGCCATCTACTTCAAAGGCACCTGGCAGGACGAATTCAAAAAGGAGGAAACCGAGGATGCCCCGTTCAGGCTGAATAAGGTGAGCCCAGGCGCTGTCAACGTGCCCTCTGCTCTACAGACGCCGATGGTGAGTGACCTGTGCTTCAACCTTTCAGAGAGACACAAAGACAGTGAAAATGATGTACCAGAAGAACAACCTTCCAATTGGCCACATCCAGGAGCTGAAGTGCCACGTGCTGGAGCTGCCTTACAAGGGCGGCGAGCTCAGCATGGTCATCCTGCTGCCCGATGACATAGAGGACGAGTCCACAGGGCTGGAGAAGGTGACGCGCCTGCCCTCCGTCCTCACCTGCCCTCTCCTGTGTGTGCCGCGAGGTCGCTGCTGGTTATGTTCACTGACGTCACCTCACTTCCCAATTCTCCCATAGTCCAGCGCATCACGCTTACTGGGGTGCTTGTTTACATTTCGGGGACTGTTGTCAACAGCATGGAGACCACGTAGAGACCAAGTCTGCATGTGAAGCTGGTCAGTGCAGGGGCTAACTCTATTAGACATTACTTCAGCTCTGTGTGGTTCTCGGACCAGCACGTTGATCAACGGATCAGAGTATATGTCACAGAATGAATAGAAGAAAACTTTTCCATTTTCCTTTCCACCACTCTGCCAATTAGCTAACGTGTATCATAGGCTTCACGGTAGTAATAAACCTCAGGGGCATCACAGATACCCGGTGTGATAGAGGATTAGTGAGTTCTGGGGAAGACGAGTGGGTATGTGGGTGGCCGGGAGGGTGTGTGCAGGGGGCGTGGTGGGTAAGTGAGCGGATAGTGGGTGGCCGGAGAGACGGGTGAATGGCTGTTTGCTGGAGCTGCTGCCAACCTCCCCTACTTGGGCCCTCGATGACACGGAACACAGCGCGCTCCCACTGTCCCCATTGCTAGAAAGAGCTGGCACAGAACAGGAGGAAACCGAGGAGCAATGACATTTGGGTCTGTTCTTTTCAACCATGCTTCAGTGCTTACCTCTATGTGATTGTTTTCTCTTTGCACATTCTAATTCCAGCTTGAGCAACACTTGACTTTGGAAAAGCTGCGTGAGTGGACCAAGCCTGAGAACATGGGTTACACAGAGGTGCGTGTCCGCCTACCCAAATTCAAGCTGGAAGAGAGCTACAGCCTCCAGCCCCTCCTGGCACGCCTGGGTGTGGAAGATCTCTTTACGCCTAGCAAGGCTGATCTGTCGGGCATGACAGAAGCCAGTGGCCTTTCTGTGTCAGGAATTATCCACAAGGCCTTTGTGGAAATGAGTGAGGAGGGCACGGAGGCCGCGGCCGCCACCGCTGCCCGCATGACTTACTGCTCCGGGAGGCCAAAGCCACAGTTCTTTGCCGACCACCCCTTCATCTTCATGATCCGCCACAACCCCTCTGGCAGTATCCTGTTCCTGGGCCGGGTGTCCTCCCCTTAGGCAGGCAGACGCCATGTACGGTCAAGCTTGGAGTTTTGTCATCTGACTTAGAACGCAGACGCAACTTCACCAATAAAGCTATGCACGGTCCAGAGCAAGTCTGTCATTTCCTCGGGAAGCTCTGCTGGGTCCTGACGCGCATGAAGGTTGCCTCAGGTTTCCTGCTTCCTCTTCCTCTGTTGGAAGCTCCAGGGTTGTGTTTGAAATGATCAGTTCAGGCAAATACCCCAGAGCTGTCGATTCTCCACTAAGCAGCAATCTGCGCATGCCCACAGCACACAGCAGCGTGAGTTTTGGGGGAGGTGAGGGGGGACACAGCCCAGAGAGAGGTGACCGCATGAGTGTCCCCGACCCGGATTATATTCCACGATTACCCACTTCATTGTTACTACCGACATAGGTCCTGTCCCTCTGGTGAGCCCCCCTGACCCCCCCCCAGCTCATGCAGCGCCTCCCCACCTCCCACCAGGGATTCTGGGGCTGACTCATCCCTCTTACACCGAAAGTAACTGCCAGTAGATCACGGATTTGGGCCTCCCTGGTGGCGCGAGGGGTATAAGTCTCAGCACTATGGAGCCAGCCACAGCCACTGCAGCACTGAGTTCAATTCCCGGTCGGGGAGCGACCCCCAGGGCGCAGCGGACCTCTCCTGTCTCCCCACTGCTCCCCTCAGCAGTGGATGCCAGTGGATCAGACTGTGGCCCCCCACTCTGTCTCTGGTGAATCCTTGTCCCCCCCCCCCACATAGCTCTGGCCTGCACCCCAGTCCTGTATGCATGAATAAACGAAAACACATCTTAAGTCAAATAGATCATGGATTTACATGTATGATACAGAACCATAAAACTGCTAGAAACCCAAGGGGACAGTCATCAGGACCTAGCACTCATGAAGAGCTCTAAGATGTGACCCCAAAAGCACACTGCAAGGGCGGGAAATCGGATAAATTTACATGCTAAACACTGACCTGTCTGCCCACCAGTGGGGTCACAGGGGAAGGCCCCCGCGCCCCTAGTGCTGAGATATCCACACTCTCACTCAGCTTTTGGCTGATAAGAACCCGGCTCAGAACTTAAAATATGCAAAATACACGTATTCCAGCAAGCTCAAGAACACACCGTGGGCCCCCAACCCAGTTCCTGCACCACAGGGACCCCGGGCTTGTCCCTGGAACACGAGCAGGCCGGTCCCGCCTGACCCTTCAGGCAGCTGCTAATCTAGGCCAGGGAGCCCCCTGCCCATTCACTGTGAGGGGACAGAGGAGGTCCTGGAGAGGGAAGTGAGGAGAGAGCAGGGAGGGGAGGGGTGAGGAGAAGGGAGGGGAGGGGTGAGGAG